TGGTTCAATGAAAGTCATTGAACTAAGTCAGTGTTTCCCTACTCCAGTCCTCAAGTACCCCCAACAGTATACATTTTTGTTATGGCCCGCGACAAGCACAGCTGATTCTACTTGACAAGTTGAATCATGTGTTTTTGTCCGGGGCTACAATAAAAATGTGTGCTGTTGGGGTACTCAAGAAACGGAGTTGGGAAACACTGAACTAAGTAGACCAGACCCAGCTGCAATTGCATTGGTGTCTATGGGAGACTCACCCAGTTAAGAAGAACTGACACATTTTTTTCAATGCTAAACGGCCGTAGTGAACTATCTTCTTTTATCCACTATCTTTGATAAAGGCTCATCATAGGAAGGAAGTGGTTGTTACCATGGTGCCACCATTAACCTATTCCTCAGCTAGCTCCTCAAACACACAGACCAGATCAGACCAGAGAGGAGACTAAAAATACTTATATTAGAGAGGACAGGGAAGGAAGGAGGGACTGAGAGGGGCCACACCAGGAGGAGAGGATGGAATAGATGGAAGAAGGAGAGTGATAGATGATAAGGAAGGATGATCTTGGAGAGGGTGGGACAATTTATGGGTAGACCAAGGAGGGGGAAAGTCTGTCAGACTGTATTTGTTTCGGTGCATGTGTGTCCCTCTCCTGTTTTTGTTGTCCAAGTTGACACAGTCAGGAGAGGAAAGCCTCTCCCAAACCCAGATCAAACTCCATGTAGCACCCCTACCCACCACACACACACAAACACGTCTCCCTGCATGTCACCACAGACAGACCACACATGTGTTCCAGCTGCTACTCAACTCAGTCACTCACACATATACTGTACACTAGACACACAATATGATTCTAATCTTATACCACCTTTATGCTATACTGTATGTGCTGTTAGAAGTGCTTTATGTATGGGTTTATGTGAATAATCGGCCAACCCGCCGACCCCACAACCACTGACCAAAAACAAAACGACTCAAGGGTAATAAATTATGAATAAACCACTGCGCTTTTTGTATATCTACAGTATCATGTGACATTTACTATATGTGAGGCTGTGGGATTCTGATATCTCCATGTGTGACTGCGTGTCCATTAGATCCACAGGTGGAATGGTGTGTGGGTGTGTTGTGCGTGCTTGTGTGTGTGTGCGCGTGCGTGTGTGTGTGTCCTGTGCTCCCTTACCTACTCAGCCCTTCTCACACCCGTGGGGACAGCATCACATTTCTCCATGACTGACCCTGCCCTGATGACGCTTGGCTGGCTCTCTGGCTCTCCTCTCTAGCAGTACAGTATCTGCTGCTCTGTTTAAACCTCCATGTGTTGAGCAGTAAGTGCGTCCCTCTGCTAATTTGGCAGGCCCTGCCCTTATGAATAATTTCTCTATTGTTTTTGCTAAATGTAATTCTGCTGCGTGCGTGCGGGTAGTGGGTACTGTGCCCGGGACCTCCGCGCTGACTGCACTGTGGATTGAGACCCCAAGAGTGCTGGACTAGAAAGGGAGCTGGCAACAAGCCCCCTTCTTTCTACACATAGACACAGACACAGACACACTTACACACACTGTTCTCTCTGCTGCCCCTCTCTGTCTCTTTATGTCGTTTCATTCGTAGGCTACACGTGCAAACACTTTTATAAACCTATTGGTTCCTCTGATGGGCTAATTGTCAGTTTGAGCAGCTGAGTTCAGCTCTTAGCTCAGTAAACCACAGCCAGCTTAATGGTATAATTACTGATAAGTGGAATGATTGCCACATACACACTTGAACATGCAAAAAGGTCATATGCCAGCCCACCCTCACACACACAGAGAAACAAACCCCCCCAAAAACACACACACACACACACACACACACACACAGATATATAGTACTTTCACATTATCTCAGTTACAGTACAAGTACTGTAAACAACACAGTATTCAAGCCACACACCTATGCAACAAAGACAGGCTCAATCACACACACACACACACACACACAGTGACTCATCCACTCCCCAGGCCTGGTGACACAGGAGAGAGAAAGAAGAAAAAACTGTGATTAACAGGAAAGATGAAGTCATGCAGAAAACCAACAGAAAACTGTATTTTCCGTCATTATATATTTATCTGTGTGTTAATGGTGTCTCCGGTGGCAACACGCTGTCCCAGGCAGCCCCAACACACACACAGACACACACAGCGAAACACACACAGTAAAACACACACACATACACTCCCCACCCCTGGTCTGCCCGTGGCCCCAGGAGGACCAGCCCTCATTAAGGCTTTAGCTGAATATTTAATGTAGTATAATTCTTTCATAGTTCTGCATCTCTGTAATTCGCCTTGATTTGCGTTTAAAAGGAAACTTTTTATTTAATGCAATGAACTCATAATGTTCCCTGGTCGCAATTGAAATAAAGAACAAAAGAAAGGAGAGAGAACAGTTTGGAAGAATATTGAATTATGCCATGAGAAGAACAACTTCTACCTCAGTCTACAGTACTTTGTGGATGGAGGGGCGAAAAGGAGGGATGGAGAGATGGAGGAGTGGAGGCTCAGTTGGCGGGATGGAGGGGTAGAGGGTACAGAAGGATGGAGAAATGTAGGGATTGGAAGGGTTGAGGGGTGAAATGATGGAGGGCTGATGGGTAGAGGGGACGGAGGGGATGGGGATGAACGGAGAGGAGGGGTTTCATGGCTTTAGCAGGATCGGGGTTGATTTGGAGTTGGAGTCATGTTTGCTTGGCACTGGCTCTCTTCATTAGTGTCCCTCTGCATTAGAGCGAGAGAGAGAGCACTGGATTAAGGAACCACTAGTCAGCCCAGTGTGTTCTGTGTTTGGCTCGGCTCTCTCACGCTGCCACAGAGCCCAGGCCAGCGATCAGGCCTCTCTGTGTGTGTGGATCCATCCAAGAGTCCCCATATTTGAAAGGAGTAGAGAAATGACTGCCTGGGGTCTGTCTATATGAGTATGTGTGTATTTGTGAGTGTGTGTTTGTTCCTGGTTGTGGTAAAGGGAAGTTGGGGGGGGGGTGGTTGTGAGGAGTGTGTGGTCCACATTAGGTCAAAGGGGAGAGCTATTTTCATCCTGTCTTATCCCTCTCTTTCCACCGCTGTCACCATTCCTTCTCATTCCCTCGCTTTGTGTGGCTGCTGTTTGTTTCACACAGACATAAAAAAAGATAATAAACGTCAGAAAGCGGAAAAAAACTCCCAACCTACACTCTTCCTGTAAATCGCTACCCTCAAACAGCCCCCACAAGTGAAATCGGAGCAATTTAATGGTCTGGCCTGCCCTCAATATTATTTAAGTAATACCCTGTTATTATTGAAGAGGGAGAGAGAAAAGCGAATGACTATTATCTTTGTGGGTCCTTTAATTTTAATGCACCACAGATTTATAGTTTAGCATTCCAGAGCAGAGGCACAGTGACTGGGCGGGGGACCGGGGCCGTGGTGCCCCACCCTGGTCGTAAAGCCAGTGGGACAGCGGGATAGCAACGCGCCACAGAGCTCTGTGATAGCTGCCTGGCTCTCTGACACTCCTCCTGCACCAAACAAGACAACAGGACAACAACACTCTAACCCCACTGACTCCCCTGACTCCCTTGGTCTGGCTTCGATCACCTCTCACCTTTACTTATCTTGAATCTGTCCCACCAGCACTCAAACTCCTTGACCTCTCCTTTGCCCAATTCTCTGCCCTCTCGTTCTTTCTTCTGCCCCTTTGCTTTCTTCTCTCTGTCCCCCTCACACCTCCTCCCTTCTGCCCTTCTTCTCTCCCCTCTGCCCCTCACTCTTCTTCTTTCCTCTCTTCCTCCAGTCTACCACCTATTCTTTAATGATGCCTCTTCCTCTATTGCCCCCTTCTCCCCCAGTGTTGTTAATGATCAGTGTGTTTGCGTAACACCAACCAAAAAGGAGACTAGACACAAGTCCCTCTCCCCCTCAGCTGTTTATCTGGTGAAACCGTGACGGTGGTAGAGCTGGCAGAGCAGGTGGTTGGAGTTTTACTACGAGCTAATCTTACATCCAGGTCATAGGTCAAAGGTCTACTACACAGGTGCTATAGTAGGAGTCTATCTGTGATGGTATTTTAGATATGAAGCTATGATTGGCTTTAACCTGGGTTCAGCCAATGAGCATCGCTGTTGAACTTAGCTCAGGCAATGGACATTGCTGTTGTTGAACTTTTTGTTAAATGACCTCTGACCACTGTAGAATGCCTACACTGTAGAGTGGTCCGTAGCTTTGATGAGGGGTCTCTGAGCCCCACTAATCAGCTGTACCTGCTTTCTCACCAGGCGCTGCACAGACAACCCCCACAACCCCTAAAGGACCACTCCCCGATGCACGAGGACCCCATGCCCCTCCAGGGTAACAACGAAGGGTCACAGAATGTTGAAGGAGTCAGTTCAGGAGTCGGTGGTGGCACAGTCATTAAGAAGCCTCGGTCGCGCACTAAGATCTCTCTAGAAGCCCTGGGCATCCTGCAGAGCTTCATCCAGGATGTGGGTCTCTACCCGGACCAAGACGCCATCCACACTCTGTCAGCCCAGCTGGACCTGCCCAAGCACACCATCATCAAGTTCTTCCAGAACCAGCGCTACCACGTCAAGCATCACGGCAGGCTGAAGGAGCTGGGGGAGGGGGCCGGTGGTGTGGATGTCAGCGAATACAGAGACGAGGAGCTCCTCTCCAGCTCAGAGGACCCTGAGTCCAGCGAAGATGGTCACGAGGAGATGTACCCCACTACGGAGAGGGAAAGAGGGGGGAGCAACCCAGCAGGGTCAGCCCCTGCCCTGGCCCCAGCCCAGCCTTCAGGGACCAGCATGGGGGCCATGGAGGAGGGCAAGGACAAGGGGCATTCTCATGGTCTGGGTGGGGGCCGAGCCAGCTCCCTGCCCCCTGGTAGCTCCTCATCCAGCCCCAGAGAGCAGGCTGACTTCCAGAGATAGAGACCCAGAGACCAGAGGAGACACAGAAAGAGAGCGAGACCGAGACAGACAGACATACAGAAGAAGGGAAGAGAACGGGAACTAAAGACTGGTAGAGGTGAAGAGGGGCATAGATGAGACAATGACAGACTCACTGATTCATGCACAAACATACACACACACACACATACACACACACACACACCCACACACCCACACACATATACTTACAGAAATACAGATGTATGGGGTCCCAAGGAGGCTTCATCAAAGAGTGATTTAAGTGAAAATACAATATGTTACCTCAGCAACATGAAGCAGGGAAATGCCATGAAACAGCTGTCATGTGTAACAGTTAGAATAGCCTGTTCACTAATGTTGAGCCACTAGACAGAGAGAAAAAAAACATATACACACACATCTCACCCCTGGCCACAAGAGGAACTTGCCACATCAACACCACTTTTGAATTGAGACAATCCCAAAACTCAGCTTCACCCAAGTGGGCGGGCTCTCATCTGCTTTGTCCAATGACTGCTCTCCCTAATGTCTCAACATCACCCACATACAGAACACTTGTCCTTATTTCGATCTTGGGTCAAGCCCCTAACTGACACTCATAGACTGAATACTGGGGGCCTGCTCAGACCTCTACTATCCCATGGTCCCTCAGCTCCATATGCAGACTCCAGAGCTACAGACATTTACATTTTAGTCATTTAGCAGACGCTCTTATCCAGAGCGACTTACAGTTAGTGAATGCATACATTTTCATACTGGTCCCCCGTGGGAATCAAACCCACAACCCTGGCATTGCAAGCGCCATGCTCTACCAACTGAGCTACACAGGACAGTGACCAATACAAAAACTAGGAGGCTCATGGTGCTCACCCCCTTCCATAGACTTACACAGTAATTATGACAACTTCTGGAGGATCAGAGAATGAATCTAGTACTGAAAGCATAAGCTACAGCTAGCTACCACTGAAGTGCATAAAATGTGGTGAGTAGTTGACTCAAAGAGACAGAAAGACAATAGTTGAGCAGCTCATCATTAGCTGGCTAAGGAGTTTTTAGGGCGGCTGTGGCTTTCCTTCACCTCCTCCCCCTTTCCACCCCTCCATGACAGGACTCCTCTAGTCTTTGGTCTTTGACAGTGGTGGCAGTTTGGGTGGGTGGGTGCATGGCGGATGGGTTTTGGGTGGAGGTAAGAACAGTGGTATGGGAGAATTCACCAATGATAAACAAATATGGTTTGTCAAAGTCCACAATTGAGCTTTATGGTATTTTTAAAGTTGGAATCTCCACTCCCAACCCACTCCTGTCGCCATCCCTCAATGGAGCAACCACACCCTACCTAACTCCCTACCCCCTACATCCAATATGGATTATTCTCATCACTCTCCAGCACTTATCCCACACTAACGTAGTTTTTATGTCCACCACACTCTCTCCCTATCTCCCCCTGTCATGCCTCAGCCCAGTCTCCCTCTCTTTACTCCTTTGTGGGTACTTTGGTTTACAAGTAGGTAAACCTATCGAGGTTTAGGCAGACATAAGAGAGACAGAGGACATGAGGATCCAGTGGTGTGAAATGACACTCAGGGCTACAGTTACTTTGGACTGTACCCCTGCCTACCCACCCTCGCCATATGTGGAGAGAAACAGGGAGTGACACAACAGAACGGAGATTCAGCAACCAAACAATCAGTCACTTTATGTGCGGTAGCCCACCCCTTCACTCTTTTTCCCCATCCCTCGTTCCTTCCCTCTTTCTCTCTCTCTATAATTGGTGCCCACAGTGTGCCGTTCCACCACACCTACCCGCACTTAACTCCTCCACCCTATTTATTGCTATCTTTATCCATGATTATTATTATCATTATTGTTATTATTGTTGTTATCCCGGTTGTTATTGCTGTCATCGCTGTTTATTTTTGGTTCTATTTTCATGGCTTTAATATTGGCTTTCAGAGCACCGTGGTTGTTTTGGTAACGAGAGACGTTTTTGAGACATGAGAAACACACACTGCCAAAAAAGAAAATGTCTTGTTATGTAAACTTCAATGTATTTTTCCAAAGAAAGAAAGACTTTGGCAGAAACGGGAGTCGAATCCAAAAATGAAACTAAACAACGAATAAACTGTGCTTTTGCTGCAGATGTTGACAATCTAACTTCTTTGAGCTATTGGAAAACATGGCAGGCTTGTTTGTTAAATCCATATCTGAAAGTGGGTACTTATGTCAAAGTATGCATCCCAAAAGGCACCCTATTGCCTATATACATGCAGTGCACTACTTTTGACCAGACCCTGGAAAAATGTAGTGCACTATATGGGGAATAGGGTGCCATGTAGGACACAGTCAAAGTTACAGATGAACCATGATGTACAGTGGGGAAAAAAATATTTAGTCAGCCACCAATTGTGCAAGTTCTCCCACTTAAAAAGATGAGAGAGGCCTGTAATTTTCATCATAGGTACACGTCAACTATGACAGACAAATTGAGAATTAAAAAAATCCAGAAAATCACATTGTAGGATTTTTTATGAATTTATTTGCAAATTATGGTGGAAAATAAGTATTTGGTCAATAACAAAAGTTTCTCAATACTTTGTTATATACCCTTTGTTGGCAATGACACAGGTCAAACGTTTTTTGTAAGTCTTCACAAGGTTTTCACACACTGTTGCTGGTATTTTGGCCCATTCCTCCATGCAGATCTCCTCTAGAGCAGTGATGTTTTGGGGCTGTCGCTGGGCAACACGGACTTTCAACTCCCTCCAAAGATTTTCTATGGGGTTGAGATCTGGTGACTGGCTAGGCCACTCCAGGACCTTGAAATGCTTCTTTCGAAGCCCCTCCTTCGTTGCCCGGGCGGTGTGTTTGGGATCATTGTCATTCTGAAAGACCCAGCCACATTTCATCTTCAATGCCCTTGCTGATGGAAGGAGGTTTTCACTCAAAATCTCACGATACATGGCCCCATTCATTTTTTCCTTTACACGGATCAGTCGTCCTGGTCCCTTTGCAGAAACACAGCCCCAAAGCATGATGTTTCCACCCCCATGCTTCACAGTAGGTATGGTGTTCTTTGGATGCAACTCAGCATTCTTTGTCCTCCAAACACGACGAGTTGAGTTTTTACCAAAAAGTTATATTTTGGTTTCATCTGACCATATGACATTCTCCCAATCCTCTTCTGGATCATCCAAATGCACTCTAGCAAACTTCAGACGGGCCTGGACATGTACTGGCTTAAGCAGGGGGACACGTCTGGCACTGCAGGATTTGAGTCCCTGGCGGCGTAGTGTGTTACTGATGGTAGGCTTTGTTACTTTGGTCCCAGCTCTCTGCAGGTCATTCACTAGGTCCCCCCGTGTGGTTCTGGGATTTTTGCTCACCGTTCTTGTGATCATTTTGACCCCACGGGGTGAGATCTTGCGTGGAGCCCCAGATCGAGGGAGATTATCAGTGGTCTTGTATGTCTTCCATTTCCTAATAATTGCTCCCACAGTTGATTTCTTCAAACCAAGCTGCTTACCTATTGCAGATTCAGTCTTCCCAGCCTGGTGCAGGTCTACAATTTTGTTTCTGGTGTCCTTTGACAGCTCTTTGATCTTGGCCATAGTGGAGTTTGGAGTGTGACTGTTTGAGGTTGTGGACAGGTGTATTTTATACTGATAACAAGTTCAAACAGGTGCCATTAATACAGGCAACGAGTGGAGGACAGAGGAGCCTCTTAAAGAAGAAGTTACAGGTCTGTGAGAGCCAGAAATGTTGCTTGTTTGTAGGTGACCAAATACTTATTTTCCACCTTAATTTGCAAATAAATTCATAAAAAATCCTACAATGTGATTTTCTGGATTATTTTTTCTCAATTTGTCTGTCATAGTTGACGTGTACCTACCAAATTACAGGCCTCTCTCATCTTTTTAAGTGGGAGAACTTGCACAATTGGTGGCTGACTAAATACTTTTTTCCCCCACTGTATCTGGCTGTCTAAGCAGCTGCTACTAAGACGACATGCCTTGTACTCTTAACAATCATCAATACATTGTGTTTTATCTATAGGATTCTGTCAATTTTTAAAATCATGTGTCTGTGTATCCAATATCATGTCATACAGTGAGAGCCACCCCATAGACACAGTCACATCTAGAGAGTGATTAACAACACCAATCCCTTACCAGTTATGTGGAGCTCTTCATACTCAACTCAATCCCAAACATGCACGCGCATGCACACATACACACACACTTACACCTCCCCCCACACCCACACGCACACACACACATGCACAAACACACTCTCCCACTCCACCTCCCTCCCCCCCACACACACACAAACACACTCACAGAGCAACTGTGGCTAGCCCTGCATTTCTCCAAGCCAATCAATTAGAGGCCTCCCTAAACCCTCATGGTTGAGGTTTCTAATAAGAGGCATTGCAGTGACAGTAATTCACATGGAAACGCTGCTGGCTGACTGGCTGGCTGGGTAGCTGGCTGGTTGGCTGTGCTCAGTGCAGCTCTCTCCCTGTCCCATGAGGGGCTACTATGGCTCAGTGGCCCTGAGTGACTGACTGCTCCCCAGACCCCAGTCACAGAGACCAGCCTCGAACCAGGGCCATGTTCATTAGGAATTGGAAATATGGAATATAAGCATTCTTATTTAATGTAGTGTCACTGAATACCCCATCCTATCAGTCCTTCATAAAAATAAGAATAGTGAAACATTTAAAAAGTTATCATTTCTAGATAAAACTATACTAAATATATTCACATGTCACCAAATTATTGATTAAAACACTGTTTTGCAATGAAGGTCTACAGTAGCCACAACAGCACTCTGTGGTGTATCCAGAGGACAGTTAGCTTCCATCCTCCAATGGGTACATTCAATCAATCAATCAATCAATCAAATGTTATTTATAAAGCCCTTTTTACATCAGCAGATGTCAAAAGTGCTATACAGAAACCCAGTCTAAAACCCCAAACAGCAAGCAATGCAGATGT